GCGGGTGGTCATTGTGTATTTTTGTCATTTTGTAGATGTCTGTCTATTAGAGTGTTGTCTTCCATATTGTTTGGTGTTTTGGGGGCTGGCTCTGACCGTATGTGGACATAAGTGAGATTAGCGGGCCAAGTGGAGCAAGAGGTTCTGTTCGTTCAGTCAGCCACTGTGATCTCATAAAACATCTTAAACAATGGTATGAGTGCAGAATGTTCTGTCATGCTTGTTAGTTGGCTCACAAACATGACTTGTCACTTTTGCAGATGCAAGTTGAGTGTGTTCAGAATTAGTTAATTGTTTTGTATCGAGTTTATGGGACAGTTTAGAATGTTCTTATGAGGAATTCGGCTTGGCAGTTTCTTTAATTGCATTTTTTATACAAAAGTTTTTAATTAACAGTGTTTCATGAACCGCTATTTAGAAAAAAAAAATCTGTTGCTTTGTTGCTCTCTCTGACTATTCTCAAAAATGAATGCAGCCCAAAATGCAGCACATTGTACAAAGAAATCACTCTGTTGATACTGTTTTTCCAATTGTAAAACTAAATCGGGAATCAGACTGAATCAGTCAAGCCCCCCCCCCCTTTATCTTTTTCCATTGCCTAACCTTGTATTTTGTATGTGATTCTTCATCATTGATTGCACCGGACACGTACTGTTAAATTATATAATGGTGCCGTATCAGTTATTGGCCATCATAATAGAGATTTTTTTTCACTACTTAGCAGGATTGGTTGATTTTAGATTTATTGGCCGCTATTGCGTATTTAATTGTGTGCTCATTTTCTCTGTTAATGCATTTTTACCATATTACCTTTGTTGTTGGTTAACGCATATTTAAAGTTAATCTTTAAAAACACAAATAATTGTAATATGTAGCAAACCTTAAAATGAAAATTATTTTTTTCCATACTCTACATTATATTGTTGTGATGCCGAAGTTAACTAAACATTTTATACTTATTGAGTTTTTGTTTTATTTGTTTAGATAATAAAATGTATATATTTTAATATCTCCCATTTATTAGTGATCAGCCATAACTTGAGGACATTTTTAATTTATTATTTTGGCCAGAATTTGTGCATCACTACATCCGAGTCAATTTTTTTTGTAACTCTGCAGAAATGAAGTTTCATGCCCAAGTGAAAAAAGCCTTCCATTTAGATTCAGGGAACTGTCTCTGCTTGTGTGTGTGTGTGTTTGCGTTAAATGCATAGAGTACATTTCCTTCTCAGTCTCTGGCTCTGTGAAAGTCACCTGCTAGTTCCACCTGTTGGAACAACTCGCACACACACACTTGCACATGCACTATGTCTGTGTAACTACACACACAACTTTGTAACCGGTACGCTCTCTCTCTCTCTCTCTCTGTGCATTTAAAAACACACACAAACAGTCTCTCTAACGTAATCCAAGACCACCATTCCATTGAAGTGGGGTTTTCCCCACCCAGGTTTGTGAAGCAGCACACGTTATCACCTTATATGATAGTGTCGCTGCATCTTGAGATCTGTTTCTCTTTAATGTCTCAGAAGACCTCGCTGCAGACCTTCTGTTTAGTTTATTACACTTCAGACCTTTTGCTTAAGCGTCTCTTAATACCTCAGAACCTTCTGTTAAACTGACAGGAACAAGAAATCAGCCTGGACACAATGGAAAATAACTGCACGTGATTGAATCACCTGAGCCAAAATGACTGTCATTGTGAGTGTGTCTAACTTAAGCAATGGTACGGATGTTTTTTTTTTTTTTTTTTTGTCTAGATCTACATCTGCGTGTCCTCTGCTGTAGCAGTGCTGTTTTGCTCTGTCTTGGCTGCCCTGTTGTCTTTAGTGTTTCTTGCATTCTGCACTTTTGGATGTACAGGTTTAAATGTAATATTCTGTTTCATAGGATAAGTTGGATTCCTTGGATGTGTCGTGATTAGGGATATGCCAGTATCAAATTTTCATGTTGCGATTAATTGCCATGTGCTTCTCGTCTGCGCATGTTTACGTCAGAGTGCGCACACGTCTTTCACGGAGCATACAGCGGTGTTGTGCATTTTGACCAGTTGATGGGAAAAGTATTCTTAAAATGCATTCAAAATTCGGAATAATTTGTAATATATAATTATTCACGGTATATAAAGAGCCCACGATAACAATATCGTGCATATTCATTACCGTGATATATCGCATTACCGAATACCGGCACAAGTCTAGTCGTGATCCTGTATCTTTCCCTGAGGGTTGTGACCTGTAACACTGAATCACAGCAGTTTAGAATTGCAGTCTTGTGTGTCATTTGCATATGTAATTTTCTTAATTTATGTTGAAGACTTTCCATGACTGCATTGAGAATTGAGACTGCTTCTTGTATGCTGCACATTATACATTTGTATACAATTAGTATGTGAGTAGGCTTTATGCAACAATTAATTTTAAAAACAGTTGTATGATACATTGTCATCACCAAGGTTATTATAGTTTTGAATTTTTTAATTAGTTTTATTTTAATATCGTTTTGAAATTTGCTATACAATTCAGTTTAGTTTTTATTAGTTTAATTAATATTGTTGTTAGTTTTAGATTAGTTTTTATTTTGTGACATTTTTGGATGCAGGGCCAATTTAACCCTAATGATGTAAACGCCTAGCGACATAAAATTAAAGCATGCTGAGATTGATTAGATGGTAAACGTATACAAATATACGCCAAAATGAAGCAGTCAAGCCTTTTTACTAAATAAATCTACACAAGTTGTGCTTAATGTCATATCTAATGATGTGTATTGAGATATTTAATATGACAATGAATGTAACCTAATATGGTTATGATGGTTAGATGTCTTTTTTCTTTTTTAACAATCATAATATATTGTAACTGTCGTGTCTTGCTCACTTTTCCGTGAACAACTGCGCATAAATCATAACTGGGACTAATGAAATTCAATAATAACGGTAATTGCATTAAGGCTCATATTTGAATATGTTCTTTTGTTCCACTACTGACGCTAGTGGCTGCAGTCTTTAGCCTCCTTGTTAGTGCGTCCGCAGTTTATGAAATAGTTTTTTTATCAATCATTTTCGTCTTAGTTTTAGTTTTCGTTTACGAAAATAACCTTGGTCATCACATGCCCTCCATTGCATTGCATGTTTAATTCACTGGTGTCCAGTTATCATCTTAGAATTAAAGGCGATGTTAAAACTAAGCTTTTTTTTTTTTCCCCTTTGTCAAACACCAACTACCTGTTCAATAGGAAATACATCAACACCGGGAAGGAAATTGCTCATCAGACAATTTCATTGGGTGTTTTTATTGTCATTGTTGTAATGATGGTGATGGTTCAAAGGCTATCTGTTACTAGTGGGTCCACCACAGTAGATTTGCTTCTAAATCAGCGTTCTACCATCATGTGTGAAGTCATGTCAGCAAATTGGTTTTGAATTTGAACTCTGGGAAGTTTAGGTTTCTTGCCCTTTCCTGTGCTGCCCACTGATTAGTTTACATATCCAAGTCCTTTGCAGTTCTTGGATAATGGAAAACTGCCCATTGTGATGTTTGATGACTGACCTAGTGTGATCTTTATGTCCTCAAATGTTTCCTCCTCTGATAATTATTTGAGATATGGCATCTTTTGTCTTGTCTGGCATGTGTTTACTGACTTTACACGCTACTAAAATGAATCCCATTATTAGCTTTTCTCTCAGGCTGTATCTGAGTCAGATGGCATTTGTGTATATATGGAAGTACACCCTGAACCTTCTACTTAAGTGCTTTTGTGAACACACCCATCACAAAGTGAATTTTCAGCATGGCATTTTTTAGCTTTTTCTCAAATGCGTGTGTGTGTTTGTTTGTGCACAGACGTCTGTGCTCAGGAGCAGCCGGAGTTGTTCCTGAAGAAACTTCAGCAGTGTTGTGCTGTGTTTGATTTCATGGACACTCTGTCAGACCTGAAGATGAAAGAATACAAGCGCTCAACCCTCAACGAGCTCGTCGATTATGTTACAGTCAGCCGAGGATACCTCACAGAACAGGCCTACCCAGAGGTCGTCAAAATGGTGAGTGAAAACACGCATAGAGTCAACTCAATGTGCATAATCTCTCTGTGAGCTGGATTCATTTTTCTAAATGGTATAATGTGAATTTGTATTTCAATAATCAGTGTAGCCTATCAGAGTCAGACTTTTGGCTAGCAACAGTAATATTATGAAATATTATTACAATTAAAAAAAACTTTTAATGTATTTTAAAAAAGTATTTGTTAAAAATTTATTTTATTCCTGATTACTCCAGTCTTCAGTGTCACATGATCCTTCATAAATCATTCTAATATGCTGATTTGCTGCTCAATAAACATTTCTTATCATTAATTAAATATTAAAAACGTTTTTGTTGAAACTCTGAATAGCTTTTTAAATTATGGTCGACTGATATGGTAGTATTTAGCGATCAAGATGGACAATATAATTCTGATATACCCAAAGCAATTTATTAATTGATAAAGAGATATACCAATACATAGGGGTGGGTGATATGGCAAAAATATCATATCATATGATTTTTTTCAGGAAAATAATTTGTTTTTCACAAAGAGGTGAAGAACAAAATCTTTGTCATTATTTTATCTTTGTTATTAAAAAATAAGAACAAAGATACATATTACAAATACATATAATATACAAATAAAACAAACAGTACTTTATTTTTCAGGTACAGTAGGTGTATTTAGCAGTAGCATTCAAGCGATCTGCACCGCTCTGAGAACTCAGATACAACACAGTCAACATTAAAGGGAAAGTTCACCCAAAAATGAAAATCTGTCATCATTTACTCACTCTCAAGTTGTTTTAAACTTGAATGAGTTTCTTTCTTAGTCCAGTATTCAGGCGCTGTTTGACAGGCTTTTAGTGTGCATGTGCTTCATGTGTACGCATTCAGAAGAAGTGCATGTCAGAACCGCACGCAAATTAAATGTTTAACTGGCAACAGCTGCGAATCGATCTTTTCCAGGATTTATTTCAGCACACATTTAAAACAAGATCTGATTAACCTGAATCTTATCATTAGTCTTCTCCGGTAGATGTCACCCTTATTTACCTTGCGTGATGTTACAACAGAAATCCTGTCATTAATTCAGCACTTATGATAGAAAGGTATGTAGCCTAATGGATTACAATCAACCAAAAATTA